TTTGCTTTTTTTTTTCTTTCAAAAATCATGTGTGACTTACTAATGATAATTGCTATAGAGATCAGTATAAATAATATCAGTGAGTTTTTGCTATATCTGCTTGAATAATATGATCTGGTTGAGACGATGGATTATCAATCAATTCTATTTGGTATCTGTACTTTTGCTACATTGTAGCAGATGTATTATTCTCTTTGAGAACGTTGAAGTGCATTCTCCCTTGTTTTTTTCTTCTTCCTGCACATTGAATATGGCTTTGCATAATCAGCTGTACTTTCGTTTGACTATATTGCTTCTCATCTTGCCTCTTGAATCGATTTGTCTGTCACTTATGAAATAATGAAAGTGAACTATTCATATGAGACACTTAATTCATACTTGACTAGTTGAAATCCATGTTTGAACAAGCAATATCTCTAGAGGTCATTGTCATGTGGTAACAGTCTTGATAAAAAAAAAGAACTTATTCATTTGATTTAACAAAATTTTGTTAGCTACATTGACGATTAAGGAAAACTAACGATAGCTAAATATTTTCTTTGTAATGAATGTGACATTTTCAAAGTCGCATTGGAATAATGCAGTTCATATAGAGAAATTTCGATATCTCATAGATTACTCTTAACTTCAGTTTTTCTTCTTGTTTCGAAATTTTAGAAAAACGAATACGAGTCATCAAAGCGTAGCGTGGAAGCTTCTAGTTAAAGTTTCGGTGGAAAAAAGAACAACAGTTCGTTCAACTTTTCGGTGATGTTTTCTTTCAAAGAAAAATATTCTACTTGCAGTGAATCTTCAGGACGGATTGTCCATTCAGGTGCTGGCTTTGATAAAGCTTCAGTTTTATTATGGATTAGTGCAACTCTATTCAATACTCCACTGTGAGATGCATCTGGAACGCACTTTTGTGCACAATATGCTTTCATAGTAGCGTAAGTGTGTTTCCTTCTTGTCGAAATAGTGTTGCAGTTGTTTCTATGACTTTGCGCTCTCGCACTTGTTTGCAACGGAAATGAAGATATTCCTTATATACGCTCGTGCTCTTCACATGCTTAGTAAATGTGTTGGTATATAGGATAATGAGTATATATTCTGAGAGAGAAGATATACGCTATTTATAGACAAAAAAAAGCAATATCCACATGATATTTCTACTCAACTTTCAGCGCAAGTCTCTAAATATAAAATGATCAGAGTTCGGACGAAAGTATTTGTACCAGAGATGTTCATCGCGGCAGCGGCAGATTTTAAAAAACTCACCGCGGCAGCGGCAGCATTTTTTTCGAGAACATTGAAAAACTGCATGAATTTGATAGAATTTCATTGTTTAGAAATGAAACACTCTGAGACTGAATGAATCTGATGGACTAGTACCAATATTTCTGGTCCAATACGGTCACAGCAGTGAAATTCGAAACATTTTTTTGAAAACCATCGCGGCGCGGTAGCGCCGCGGTAACTTTTTTTTTCTAATGCCGCGGCGCGGCAGCGGCAGGTTTTCAGCCGCGATGCACATCTCTGATTTGTACATGTACTTTAAAAAAATTACTATGTACTTATACTTGTACTTTGGAAAAAAATACGTAGCACTTGTACCGAGTGAGTCATCATGACCATAACACCTAGTATTTTGCAATTATCTCGGAATAGATAAATCATGCAATCTTGCCTTTTTCTCTATAAGTATAGTAATGAAGAATTCAATTGAGCTTAGTTCGATAATTTTCTTATAAGATTACAAGTTAAGCACTGTCTCATGATGAGATAGTCTATTATTCTGAGAAAATTAAAAATGCAATAATGCCAACAAATAGTCGTCTTCTTATTCCAACCAAAACCTTTCATAATATTATTTCTTAAGGAAAGAAATTACCGTTACTTGACAACAGTAGCAGAGTAACGGAAATTTTCCGAGTTTATTGAAAGAAAAGCTAATTCTTCGAAACTCAATGATTCTTGATAAACTTTGATAAACAGTGTTCGGGGTCGAGAAGTCCGAATCTGTAATTCGATTTCGAAATATGATAAAAAGCAATGGAAATCTGTTTTCACCAGTTTTTTACAATAAAATGCTTCGTTTTAACTGGCAACTATTATCTATTCGTGTTTTTATTATGTGTTCAAGAAATTTTCTGCTTAAATTTGGCCAAGTATGGTTCATTTTAGTTGAACAAGCTGTACAATTATTTATAGGACTAAATGCTATAAAATCGAATTTGGATGAATAATATAAAATAATACATAAAACACAATAACACAAATATATATAAACAAACATACTCTGATCTCAAAATATAACGCTTTCTTTTTCAATTTTTGTCATTGCAATAGAAAGACATTGGTTTAAAATAAAGCATCAAATGATCCTCGTGATCAAAGTAAAATTATCGTACGAATGGACAAAACTATTCTTTTTTATTTGCCTTTTTTTACTTGATATAATAAGAGAATAAATAGATAATCTATTCCATGTAAACAAAAATACGGAAAAAATCAGATTATAATCGATTACTTTTTGATTAAAAATCGATTAAAATCATACACCTTTTCATCGATTATTAATCGATTTAAAATCACGTGCAATCGATTATAATCAATAAAACATTGATGTCCCACTGCTAATCGATTAAAATTGGTTAAGTTTGATTAATAATCCATTCTAAATTGATTTTCAATCGATTAAAAGGTGTATGATTTTAATCGATTAATAATCGATTAGGAATCAATTAACAATCGATTCGAAATCGATTAAAATTCACTCGGAATCGATTAAAATCCACTAAACCTCCTATACCTATTCCTAACCTTTATATCTATCTATTTCTAACCGCTATACTTATTTTTAATCCCTATATCTATGCCTGACCGTATACCTATTCCTAACCCCTATTCACGTACCTAACCCTTATATCTATCTATTTCTAACCCCCTATACCTATTCCTAATCCTTGTACCTATTCTTAACCCCTATATCAATTCCTAAACTTATACCTATTTCTAACCCTATACTTATTCTTAACTTGTATATGTATTCCTTACCCCANAGTGAAATTCCTTAACGTTTTTCTCTCATTTTATTTTTTCAATAAATGTCAGACCCAAGTACGCTCAGAGCCGCGAGACGTCTTAAACTAGAGATAAAAGTCTTGTGCGCATTTGCGATATCTTCCAGTCAGATACCGTTTGTGGTTCCGAAGATATGACTAGCAAATTGAGTGCTATATTTAAGAAATTAATTTTTTTGAGAATTCAAAAGCATGACTTAGTTTGTTGGTTATGCCTTCGGGACGACAAATCGTATAACGCTGGGATATATTGCCAAATGTGCACAATACTTTTCTCTCTAGTTTAAGACGTCTTGCGGCTCTATACGTGCTTGGGTCTGATATTTATCAAGAAAACAAAATGAGAGAAACATGTTTTCGAATTTCAATCCGATAGCAGAGTTAGCTGGCCACGCTCTATACAGGTTAAGAATAAGTATAGGGTTAGAAATAGGTATAGGTTTAGGAATAGANCAGCAACTCCTTCTAGCGATACCCCCGCAATTTCACTCCACCCCACACCCACACCCTCTTTGATGGATCACAAATAGAACTTCCCTATATTGTTCAATAGAAGGCCTACAGAATTTTGTACACTTAATCAAGAATCACAATAATTTGATAATATAAATGCTTTGTTGCACTGAAACAATACTCATGAATTACATATCTATGTAGAATCTGTAATAAATAGTACAATTTTTCAAATACTACATCTATTTTGACAGACACAACTTGACTATGTAACAAATTAGATGAAGGGTGTGGTTGTGGGGTTGAGTGAAATTGCGGGGGTATCGCTAGAATGAGTTGCTGCCCTCCTGCCCAGCCACACCCTTTATTGAATTTTCTGTAAATTTTTGACAACCAAAATCAAAAAATATCAAACAGTCTGTTATTTTGAATCGATACTTATTTAGAGTGTGTGTATGTGTAAATATTATTTTTTTCTTACATTTACCTTTCTATCTACATGTTACTATTAATTCCCCTGAAATAATAAACAACAACGATATGCTCTATCATTCTACGATTTATGATATGAGACGTGTTTGTAGCCATGATAGTACTTGTTAATACTTAGCCGAAAATCGAAATTCATGCCTAGGAAAAATTACTCTCTCGTTTGATCAGAAAGAGAAATAACTATGATAAATGGAAAAAGGAAAAAAACATATGTTGATAGGCAATTATCAACACAGATAAATATTCTGCATGACACAAGGTACACATAAAACGAGAACAGAAGGAAGAAAACCACAAAATAAATGACAACATATGTATTCTATACGTCATTCTATGAATTTCATGACACTTTTTTTTTCCTTTTCATCATTTTTATCGTTCAGTAAGTTGAGAGAAAGAAGAATGAAAAGAGAAAAAAAAATTGTGCTACACACAACCATTAAGAAATCACATTCACACCAATAAAAATATTCATTCCGTTTGTATGTTTGATACTAAGTACCTTATAGAAATCAATATAAGTTGAGTTTTTTTATCGGTTCATTAACGCTCAATAATCCAACAACAAAGAGAACTATGAGTTTGGAATTATTGCCTAACGAAGTGTTACTTCACATATTCGAATATCTTGACGACGTTCAAATTTTCCATGCATTCAACGGTCTCAATTATCGTTTCGACTCTTTGTTTTGCAGTCGTGATCGAAATTATCGTGTCAACTTTCGTTGTACTTTTAGAAATGATTTCCAAATCATTTTTGAGAAATATCTACCATTGATTATAAATCATATCAGTTCTATTAGTCTCTCGGACGATGTTGATACACCAGAGCAAATTGAACATTTTCTCAATCGAAATATTCCTCTTCGTGTATTCTCGCATTTGCAATCACTTTCATTTAGTCACATTCGTTCATATGATATAATAATAGAAATAACTGAAGAATGTCACTGTCTTCCTCATCTTACTCGTCTACATTTCATTCAATGTTATATGGAAACAAGTATTGATTATTATCGCTCACTTGTGAATAGAATTTGGTCTTTACCTAAATTAAATCATTGTCATTTTGGTATCGATTCTCCTACCATTGTTTATTTTCCAGGACCAACACACACTTCATTGTCTTTGGGTCATTTGTCGGTACAATATATTGATTTTCGTTTTAGTGAATTGTCTCAATTAATCGACTATACACCTAACCTTCAACATCTGTCTATATCGATTAATAATCGTTCAATGAATCGAGATTTCATACAAACTGCTCCATCTATAGTGTCATTGAAACTCAATGTTCGTGATGCACCATTTGTTTTCGCAAGACTTTTGCAATATATGCCTAATTTAAATCACTTAACAGTCAACTCATTGGATACTTATTTCGGTAATATAAGAAACGTTATTGGGTTTCGTCTGGATGATCCTGATTTTCATTATGCAAACTTGTGTGCAAATAAACCATCCATTCATATGAATGGACTCAAATGGGAACAAATTATTGTTAACCATTTACCAAAACTCAAAACATTTCGACTGAAAATGACAATGCAATATTGGTCTAATAATAATAAGGAAGATGATGTAGATAAACTCCTTATTTCATTTGGAAGTCATTTTTGGGTTAGAGAACGTCAGTGGTTTATTCGATGTGATTGGAGTTCCGAACCAAAGTCACCTTATATATGTCTCTACACTTTACCATATGCGTTTGACCATTTTGATACTCATACCGCCTTTATTCGGTCTAAATCGACTTGTCCGAATGAACATGATTATTGGCTTTATGATCATGTGTACAATCTGCATTATGACTCTTCATTAACCAATAGTTCAGCATTGAATCGTGCTTGTTTTTCTAATATTCATCATCTTTCCATTGACCTTCCATCTACTAACAATATATGGTCGGCATTGTCGACGTTCGACCGTCTAAATTCATGTAATGTATTCATTTTAAAAGATGCAGTTAAGAATTGTGATCAATTACAAATGTTGCTTGATCAAGCACCAAATCTCTATTCATTAAAACTTACATGTAAAAATTTTCCACTTTCCGAGTTGTTATTATTGAAAAACAATAGCACATCGGTTCGTCGTCTGGATTTATATGAATATGCCGCACATAAGGATTGGCAATGCTTTAATAGGAAGCAATGTATTGAACTATGTAATTCTCCATTGGGTCGTCAATGTGAAGTTCTTCGAATTAAAGTTGAAAATCCGATGGATGCAATAGAACTTATATATTCAATGTCAAATCTGAGAGCATTAAATGTTCAAATTATGAATGATGAATGTAATGTATTGGATTTTAAACCATCTTCAACAGATGACGAAGTTCTTCAAGTTTTGCAACGTTCTCTTGATTATAGCTGTGTTGCTACAAGAAATCAATTCGATTCGCGTTTTATTCAATTGTGGATCCGCTGACAATGATTTTCGAAGACTCTAGTATATGAAAATTGAATCTATTTTATCGTTTTCTTTGTACGACTCATTCACATATTAATTAAATTTATGCTTGTATCTCTGTAAATAGCTTATGAATTCGACAACATAAACAAAAAAGATTTCTAGAAAAGAATGGTATCGTGATACCGATACATTATTATTATTAATTCATTGATCATCATCAGACGATCTGGATCTCTAAGGAAAGTACTGAGCTCAGGGTACTCATGTATTGTGGAAGCCTAAGCAGGGTATCCAATATGGGTACTTCGAAAATTCTCAGTAATTATACGGATGTATTATCTATTTCAAAATAAAATGCACTCGATTGTTTGTTGAATAAGTCGGCAGCGTTGGTAGTTATCCAGCTGGGGTTTTCACCATTAAGAAGAGCATGAGTGGGGGAACAAGTTTATCTGAGAATCAATACAGCTGAAAACTTTTCTAGATGGTTCTAAGAATTTTTTGGAAAATTACTGTCTGATTCACTTGATTAGGGGTATTTTCAAGTGAAATTGAAAATCTAATAACTCAAGAAAAGAACATCCTTTTTTAGCTGGAAATTTCAGGATATCGTATGGGTCATTAGATGTGTCCATGGGCAAATTTTCAAATCAAAATTTCATAATTTCATTTTCCGGTAAATACATAAGGTAGGGTCAAAAATTCAGTAAAATGGTCATAAGTTCTTCAGAAAAGATCGAAAACGTCTGAAAATTTCGGGTTTTGTAAAGCAGATATTGGAGTACAGTGTGACTAAATTGAAATTGAAAATATACCTAATCAAGCGAACCAAACAGTAATTTTTCAAATAATTCTTAGAACTCTCTAGAAAATTTTTCAAGTATTTTGATTCTCGAATAGACTTGTACCCCCACTCATACTCTTCCTAATGGCGAAACCCCGAGCTCGATAGCCATCAGCATTGTCGAGTTATTCAACAAACAATCGAGTGCATTTTATTTTGAAATGGAGAGTAGTTACTGAGTGTGGTTCTCAAAAAGTATGCTCACTGAACAGGTACTTGTATGGGTATCCGCATCTGTAATTTTGCTGAGGATAGCTCTACAGGGTACACTATATTGTTGTATTTTGTGTAGGATGTGGGTGGGTGTGGGTGTAGATAAATTACAAGAACAACACCCATACTCACACTCACACCGTCAATCGAAAACTGCTTATTGTATCAATAGTTCTAAGCTTTATTAGTTTTGCTATGGGTATCATCGGTCTTGGAGTTGGCATGTATCTTATCTCCGATTTATTAGAGTATTTTATGAGTTCAGCTGCAATTTTGGTTATTGTCGCGATTATCATTAATTTCATGAGTGCTATTATGTCATTATTTATCCATTCTCCAAATTGATATGATTGATCAAGATAATTCAGCGCTAATGGACTTTCGTGTCTCTGTTCTTTCCAAATTCTTTGCTTTCCTTGTATGGCTCTTTTCAGTGAAATATAGTCTCCATCATCAATTAATAGTTTCCTGAATCTTTCACTTTTATTTCTCTTTTTTTCGAAATCAAAAAAAGATGGAAAATTCCCGCATCAATATCATGTCAAGGGAAAATCAACAGAGACTTCAGTCGTGAAATTCCATGAAGTCTTGAAAGTTTTTCGAAGTCTTCTGCAAGTCTCAAGAATTCTTTCAGAACTTTTGAAATACATTATTGCATAAAAAGCCGTAAGAAACCAATAAAACTATCTTGTTTTCGATGGTATTATTTTAGCAGAAAGACGAACTTTTTATTTTATTTTTTTTGTCTTCAAAAAATCTAAAACAGATTTTGATTGACTTTCAGGACAAAAATTGTATTTTAGTACTTTCAGAAAGTATTTCAAACCCCTCTATCTATGCGACTAGTTTTCCAAAAAAAGTGATATTTTTAATCAAAACACTTACGAGAGAAGCTTCCGAGATGTCCAACGAGTTTAGATTTCATCTTTTGACCATAAGTAGACCTTGATGAGATATGAAAAAGCTGTAAAGAATTTGAGCCCTCACAGCTTTGTTTCCAAGATATTCAGCAAAATCATAGTATAGAATTTTGACCTGAAACTTTGCTTATATCAACCTATCAAGTAGACTAGGTTATATACAAAATATCAGACTTTTCTAACGCAGTCTTTAAGAAATATGAATATTTCAAAATATACGTCATTTTTACAGATATTGTACGAAACATAAATACATTTGAAATATTCATATTTCTTAAAGGCTACGTTAGAAAAGTCTGAAAGGACGCGGACGGGTTGATTCACAAATCGGCCCTAAATGAAAGTCGCACGGCAAACTACTTCCGTTTTAAAATTTATGCTTTTCTCTTTAACATTAAACTAATCTTGATGCACATAGACGATTTTGGTGGACACTTCATAGTGTATTCAATGAAATAGGCCATTAGCCCCTTCACAGTAGGTTGCTCCTATGCTTAGCAACATGAAATATCACTGATCACCACTTCATTCCAATTAAAAAGTGCCATTTTTTCAGCGTATGTAGAGCTCAGTGAGACCTACAAAACGATGCTAATATATGTGTCATTTTTATTAGAGGCATGACAAATTGTCGTACATATTTAACATATAGAATAAAACTTGTCATAGTGGACACTATTACTTTCACTTTCGAGTAAACTTTAGGTTTCATTATAAATTTATAGTGTCTTTATCTTTCTCTTATTATTTCCATTGCGAAATGTGACTCATATTAGTGATATAGGATTGACGAAAAGAAGAGCATGAAACGAAAGAAAATGTTCTTCTTTTCGTCAAT